CATGGAGCAGTGTTTACAGGTGATGCTGTTTTAATTCGAGGTTGTGGTCGAACTGATTTTCAACAAGGAAGTGCAGATAAACTTTATACATCAATACAAACAAAAATATTTACATTACCTGATCATTATTTTGTTTATCCTGCACATGATTATACAGGTATTCATTGATGTTTTTTTTGTTGAGAAAATGATAAACTTAATTTGACTATTTAATTAGGACAAACATGTTCAAGTATTCTTGAAGAAAAAACTCATAATCCACGACTAACTAAATCACGAGAAGAATTTATTGAAATAATGAATAATTTGAATCTTAGTTATCCAAAACAAATAGGTAAAAAACAAAGATATGATTCAAAATGAATATCTACTTTCGATTGTATTCTTGTTTAGATAAAGCTCTTCCTGCCAATGTGATTTGTGGATTACAAGGCGACATATAATATCTGATTACTGTTTTTGTTTTTCTTTTAGTCTTGTATATAAAAAATGAATTTCTATGAAGAAATTCAAAGCTCTGCTTTTTTTGTTTTGAAAAGTTGAATTTTATTTCATTCTCATAGAGGAATCATACTGAATTTGATCAGAAAAAAAATATCCTCAAAATTCATATAGACAGTATGAAAGAAAACTTATTATCTTATAGTTACGATCAATTTTTTGTTTGTGATCAAGCATAACTTTCTTTTCATAATAAAAATCCATGTGTATTTTGTTTTTCTTCTTGAGAGCATGTTAAAAACTACTACCTACAAATGAAGCGTATCGAAATTGTACACTACTAAATTTAGTCGTCGTAGTCGATAGTAATGTTTGCTTTGCTCACAAAATAAATATGTCAAAAATAATGTGTAAGATTATGTTTGAGTAACATATTAAATATGAAAAAAATTCTTCAGAAATTTTGAAAAATTTATATCAATCTGATAGCTTCACTGAAAAGATTGAACTGGTTATTAAAAAATTTATATGGTCCTGCACCATCATGGAAAAGACATGATTTTAATATTTGAAGAATGTTTTATCATTGAATATGATAAGTATTCAACATATAAATCAATAATTTCTTTTACAGGACTATGTTGCTTTTGATTTAATAGATAAATGTTCGATAGCAAGTTAAACAATCTTAGCTAATAATCTTGGATTTCGATTGCTTCAAACATATTTATAAATTCTTGTTGAAAAAAGTCTTCTTTCAACTTATTAATACCTATTCTAATTCAAATTAGTCTTGCTAATGGTGTAGAAAAACGTAATTCGGCACCATAATCATGTATCATTTAACATATTCGTAGATAGCAAAGATTATTTTAATATCACACTTTGTGTGATAGCTGCTAGTTGAAAAACATTATCGATTGCTTCGATAAATTACATAGACATGTACAATAAGCAATCTCGTATTCGTTTGCTCGCAACTCTACGCAAAGAAAATTCATGACACAAACAAACATGAAGGTTACTTTAAAAATATTGACATGGAATTAAACTAACTGTGCCATCGTTCTTTTTTTCTTCATATATATTAAATCTATCATTAACAAGAAATAACTGAATATCATTCTATCTGGTTGTTCATTCATTCAAATGTTAGAAAAAATTTGTTTTTATTTTTAAGAGTGATATAATTTCATTAGGCTTTTATCGAATGATATTTTTCATTTTATAAAATATGATCTAAAAGGCGTGTTACATGAAATATACCGGTAAAAAGTTGAATCCTTCTCAGCACGTTCATTAGAACTTCCTTATTGCATTTCTAGAGAATTTAGTAAAATGATAGTGAAGAATTGTGTATTAAAATCGAATCTTCTTCTAACACAAATACTCGTTGATTATTTATCTTGAATATATAATGGATAAGGAATATATCATCAAGAAGATAAATCTTAAAGAATCAGCCAAGTTTTTTCTAATGAGAAAAATACACAATATATTTTTCAATCATTGATTTAAATGCACATTGACAAAATATTTTAAAATTTTCTTTTTCGATCTTCAAGCACATGATTAAATATTTTATCATGTAACACGATATGCTATGTACATTCTATGACATCAAATACACGTTTGATCAAAGAACATGACTCATTTTTCAATAAATATACATAAATCAAACTTGGTTATAAAAGTATATTTGAAAGAAAAAGTTTGTCTTCATTCGATATTATATTTATCAATTATTTCTTTTTTATATTGATAAAAATTCGAATATTGTCAACATGAAGAAAAGTTAGTATTACGAGCTTAATGCTGCAATACATCTTCAGCAACTATACTTATTGTTGATGTTAATCAAAATAAAGAACATAATATCTAGGAATACAAATAATCATGTTATTAATTTTATTGTGTACTCAAAAAGTGAGTACACTCTAGAATCGGTTAGTATGTCCGGCCGTTTACACGATAACTTTCGAAAGGAGAGTCAGATCATGATGAAATTTTCTACACAGTTCAGTCTTAACAATGTCTCGGTCGAGTTCGAAGATGAGAAGGATCCGTCACGAAAT